CCCCAGTAGATTCGCGAGACTCGGTTTAAATTAGGGAGTCTAGACGCCTCGGAAATACCACGTGGACTGCACGCTCGAATCCGGTCGACTTCCAGTTCGAACAGTTCGCGCCTCGACGCTTCCGGCGACGCTCGACCAATTCCCGTTCGAACGAACAATTCCAACCCTTTCATAAAATACGATATGACTATACGTTCAGTGGAATTCCTTTATGGCTCTACTTCTAAACATTCCGTTGCCGTGAAAAGGAATTCTTACCCGATCCTAAGAATACTTTATCTTTCATATTTCTTTAGATTTTCCATCTGTATTTTCCATACGTGGGATTCAAGGGAAAAAGAAAAACTGTTTCTGGGTTACCAATTGCTTTGGGTAGATAGAACGTAGTTTTTTTCAATTGCTTTATGTAACGATAAATTAAACCCGACAATTGGAATGTCGTTGTTTCCATAATTGTTTGCAAAAACGTTTAATTGACACTCACATCGGTATTCCATTAACTACTACACGGATTGAATGCGACTAATTAAATCTGCAGCGTTTAAATCGGCACGCGAAAATGCTGCGATTTTATACTACCAGAAGTTTATCCTGGTCAAAATAATACAATTACATTACGTAACTCGTTTACGAACGACGTTCAAAAGCAAGCAAGGCTACCCGCGAATATTTGTTCTTTAATTCGCTTATAAGCGTGTTGAATATATGAGGTAAAACACACAAAGAATCAGATTACAAAGGCTACAATGAAGTCTCGTTTCTAAGGATTTCTACCGTAACGCATATTTGTGTGTTTGCGGTCTGCAATTATTATTATCATCGCGTTGAATGTCGATCACGAGTTTGACTCGTGGTTGACATTTTTGGAGTGTAATAAGCAGCACGAATGACATTCCAACGAGATCTATAATTTTCTTCAATTAAAGGCATAAAAGGACGAACACAGGAGTGTGTGTAATGTATAGTATACACGACGAGTACCAACTTGATGATTGTGTAATACATTCGACGTTGATCACGTGTGCATTGTGTGAACAATGCATGCAGGCAATTTTTAATTAATCTCCAGGGTATAACCAGTAAAGTAAATTAATCGTGAGAACATTTTTATAATACCAGTATCTTTTCTTTATACGTGATGAATTACATGAAGGAGAGTAACATAAAACCATAGGAATGAATCAGTTCGTTCTACAATACAAAGAAACGATTTATTCCAAATTACAGATGTCCACGGCAGCCATCCGGTGTTTCGTAAATTTATTAATGAAAAATTTACAACGAACATAGTATATAGTACAGCAGCTTCACTTTCCCCCATTTGTACGCGGCGTTGTCTCGTGGTCGTTGGTAACGTTGGCCACCGGCAGGCGGCGGAGCGGTCGCATGGCCGCCCTCAGTGTTCGCGAGCCTCGCTCGGTGTGTGTTTCGTGGCGTGGTCGTCGTCGTCGTTGTCCGCCCGTACGTTCGGTCCCGGTTCTGTTTCTCGACAGGTTTGGTCGGTGCAGTGGTAATTAATTCCGTCGCGAATCCGTCCAACGCGCGAAACACGCTGCGTCCACGCGAGTGTCGACGTGTTTTACCGTCCTCGCCGCCAGCGCATCCCGACGCGAGACGACGGGAGTCGGTTTCCGCCTCGCGTTTGTGTCTTCTCTCTGTTTGTGCGCGAGAACCCGAGAGGAAGAGCGTGTGTGTCAACATTCGTGTGCGTGCTCTCGCATCGACGTCGGCGTCGCCGTTTGCTTCACACACCGAGGCGTATATATTCGCCTTTGTAATCATCGTCGTGCTCGCTGCACGCCCCGTGCTACAAGTTTTCGGAGCCGCCGCGCCTCGGCTCCGGAACGGAGTTCACTGTGCCTCTTTCTTTATTCCTCGTACGTGTGGTATACCCATCGCGTGCGTACGCGCGTAGTATGTGCTTCTGTGTTTATAATCGTTGCGTCCTTTTCCTCCGTCTCGCTCTCCTCTCACCTGCAGCCAGAGAAGGCACACAGGTGTCCCGCGAAGGAGTGGCGACGCTCGCTGGTGAATCGTCGCCACTGCTGTGATTGTGATACTACTTTCGAGCGGAGCTCGTCTCCGATCGTAAATCCTGCCATCCGAAAGCAGCCATCCGCACTGCCTTAGGAATTTCAAATCCAAGTACGTGTATCTCCGTACTATTAAACGAGAAACGCGCGTTCGTCCTGTTGAGCCCATGAAAATGTATCGTCTCTCACCCGGTTCCGCGACCACCATACTCCTCCACCCGGTAACGTTACGCACGCCGTTTCACCGATAAAACCGGATGTTTTCCGCGTGCGCTGTGTCCTATCGTACGTACGTGTACGCGATTACACACGTTCGGCAGTTAGCTATTATAATCATGCACTGTGTGCCGTTTGTATTCTCCGAGCTTCGAGCTCCGCGCGTTGCATACTTCTCGTTCCTCCTTTTTACGTAACTGTGAACGTTGTTTCATCTGTATTTATTGTACAGCCGTGAGATATTTTCCTCCGGCCGCGACACAGAGTGCTTTCGCGTCCCGACCTTCGGCGTCTAGCAGCGGGCTTTCCAACGGTGCGTACAGGTTAGGCTAGGCACGCGCACTCCGTAAGAAGAAATGTCATTTTACCGCGTGTACAACCTGATCGTCATTGAATTTACGCTGCACTACGTATCGGTCTATGATAGAAGGTCTAAAATAATATTAGCCTTATAATATTGATTTTCGGGAATTATAAATAGTGTAACTAACTAAGTACATTAAATTTCGACCAAACAATCGGCAATCGAAGGGATGGAAGGTCGTCGGACCGTGATGAGACATTTCGTGGGACGGGGACAATCGTCGCAACCTCTCGACAATAACGATACAATGCATGCCATTCATGACAGTCGACTAGTGGCACTGGCAAGAGAGAGAAAGAGAGTTAACGTTTTACCCGGTTCCTATTGCGCAGGACGAATCCGTGAAGCGTCAACCGAGTACACGGAGTGTCTCGTGGCTGCCAGGAAAAATCACGGAAGACTCACTTCCCTTCGTCGTGAATAAGGTAAACACGGGTGAGGCATCGAGCCCGACCGGCGATTTAACCGCCACACGTTGTGCCATAATCGTCGGGAATGTAAACACCACAAGAGAAGCTGCCAGTCATTTAATCGGACTGTATTGCGATTTAAAAGAAGAATAACAAAGTGATACGGAAATCCTGCCATCTTAAATATTCATTATACCTTTTCTACTTAGTAATCGGTGTGTACAATCAATAAGGACAGAAGAATTGTGTAAGTGATAGCCGAGGTCCAACAAATTCCTATAGCAATCGAGCACAATACAATCAATAATCATAGAAAAGTGTAAATGACAATCGTGAGGTCCAAAGGATTAAGCTTAAGCGTTCAATAGAACGAGACGTTAAATTGATCGGAGCGTACGAACGGTAGCCGACCAGCAAGAGAAACGCACAATTTAAAGACCGTAAATATTCCTCGACGCTCGTGAACGCACTAAACGCCGAGCCGTGGAGCTGCCTCGAAGTAACAAGCGACGCGAGCCGACCTCTCGACCGGGCAGTCGTCAGGATGTTTCAGTTGGTCAGCAGACGGTAGCTTCGTTCCCGGGTCTGGTCGCGATCCTCAGCCCCTGGCGGCGGAAGAAGCGCGGCCGTTTCAAGGATCGCCCGTCGACGATGTCCATACGTGTGAGCGGCGTCTACCTGGTGCCGAGCACGCCGGCCGCCAATGAGCCCAACAATGAGAAACCGAGCAATCTATCGGTGGAGAACAGTCTGCATCAGCAGCACCACCACCATCACGCCGCGAAAACCGTGACGATCGTCGCCGGTCCACAGAGGAGCAACAGTTTGGATTATTTGAACTTCGAGGAGAAGCGACAGATTATCGCCTCCTCGTTGTCGTTGAGCGACTTTTTGGCACACGGTCCGGCTGCGGCCGCCGCTGCTGCGAAGGAGGTTGCCGCTAACACCGTCATCGGTGAGTTTTTCCAGATTTTACTAATACAATGAAGCGGGAAAATTGTCTTCGAACAGGAAATTGAATGAACGTGCTATATGTATGCTCGTCGTCGTAAGAGCATTAGAAAAATATTTCATGGTCTTTTATGCATAGAACAATGCAGGTAGCACGCAAAGCGCATCCACTTATTGTTAGCTTTGTACCTGATCAGATGACTCGATCACCTGTGATTTCCACGTACACTTTCAATGAGAACTATCAGTGCCAGTTGCGGACGAGTTGTTTTCATCGCGAAGCGACATGATTACTGTGTATCCCCATGCGAATCGTAAAATTGCACGCGAACGATCGAGCATCTCGTAATAACATCGCTCGCGAAAGATAGTGGGAAATACTCTAGAGAGAGAGAGAGAGAGAGAGAGAAAGAGAGACGGAGAGAGAAAGAAAAAGCGGTGAAAAGCGAACCAGCTTGGTTTGATTGCGAGTCAAGGAACCCGTACACGGAGTACACATCGTCGAGTTCCACGACCTGTAAACAAACCCGCGTGTGCTCCGCTCCGCTCCGCTTGGCCGGAGTACTTTATCATTGCGGGTATCCGTGAAGGTGTACTCTAGAAATTCCTTTCTCAGGCTTTGAATGAGCTCCGAATCAAAGAGAGAAGTATCGAGAGAGAGTTAGATTTACTCTGCGGTGGCTCATCACCGATAAAGAGTCAGGTCTCGGTTTATTTAGCTTAGTAATGTAACACAAAGATTCGAGCGTGCTACCGAAGTTTCACGCCAGTTCTGAGCAGGAAGATATTCAGCACATAACCGGCTACTTATATCCACTTCTTGCACTGTTTTTTACATTTTACGAGTGTTTCCTAGGACTTGGTGGTATCTCGTTGGATGGTCGTTGCACGAGGAAGGGACAAAGGGATAGGCAGTGGGCAGAAGGGAGCATAGGGAAGGCGTGTTCTTCTACCCTACCTCTTTTTTAACGGGAAAGTTCGCGTGAAGGGAGCTTTGTTATCGCGCTCTCACGAAAAGTCTCTTACCATTGTCGTGGCCGTCTTTTTGTTCCTTTGCAACGCCCGCGGCTCTGATAGATCGTTAGGCTTCTCGTTGTCTCTGATCACTCGTGGTTGGTTAAGCTTTTGTGTCGACTCGTACCTGAGGAATTAATAATTATCAGTAGGCATGACTAGAATATCACTAATTCATTGAATTTATTAACTGAGAGCTTCCATTTGTACATTTCAAACATTGTTTTCAAGTAAATACATGATGAGAATATGAAAGGTCATTCTTATATTTCATAGTGTATTCTATAATTAATTTTAAGAATGTGATTAAATGCATAGGGAACACTATATCAGTTCATCGTGTTCAGAGCATACACTCGGATTCCGAGAACGCTCGTGTGTTCTTGGAAGTAAAACACCCGATTCGGACAAGCAATTCTCTGTTTCTGACCGTTCTCAAATTTCCTTACTCGGGGAATATTGATCAGGAATCTTGTTATCCGTTGCCTTCCGTTCTCGCTCATATGCGGCCACTCCGTACGTACGTACTGCTTGATCATGCAACACGTGTTACTTTGAAAGTAACCAACCCCGCCGTGCCGCCCGTAACAGACTGGACCCGTGAGTTCAAGAGGCACGTATGCTCTACGTGTTTCGCGGTGCGTTGTGCCGCGAGGAACGCGTAAATCTAAGCAAGTTTCGCTTGCACGTGCAATCCAACGACCGAGCCAATTTACATGCAGAGCAGCCGGGTTTTAATATGTCTTCCCGATGTCTTCTACACTGTGCAACGAGCGTTTACGGCAACGTGCAAACGTTTCAAACTGTCCCTATTGCGCTTGCAGTTCAGATCTCTCGTTATTTCTTGTAAATTGTTAACTATGCTTAAGCGAATTGTTAAGTAAGCGTGTTGGAATGCTTGATAATGTACGGCCAGGTTCTTCTTATTTTTTTAAAATTCACAATTTGAAATTGCAATTTTCAACTTTAATAAAATTTGAGAGGGTGATAAATCTAAGATCGATGAAAGTTGCCGGAACAACGTGGTTAACCATAACACGGTAGTAATACCTCGAATAGAAACAGTGTATCGATGGTAATGGTCGCAACGATGGGCACTCGACTTCCACCGCTAAACAGGAAACGTTAACCTTTCGAACATCCGTGTTTGCGCATTCATTAGCGCGGGTAATTGATGAATGATGATCGATTCGCACCACCGTTCATCGATATTTCGGTTATCTCTTTAGGACGTGTCACAATTGCGTTTCTTGTCCGGAAATCGATTTCCTGTAATCAGCAGTTATATCATGAATGCCTTTTCACAACGATCTCGTTTTGCTCATCTGTTTCTGAACATCCAAGAATTTAGTAAAGATAGAAATAATCGTTGAGATTCATTAGCTGGAATGAAATTTATTATTTGAAGTAGTTTCGAATTTCTTCTGCTTTTCCTTATGGAATATAATGAACTTATTTTTTAAGTAAAATGAAAAATAGCAAGACTTTCACTCGTAAGACGTTTTTAAGCGTTTGCAACGTTGCCGTTTGATCATACGTCCTCGCTACGGACGATGATCAATCATTCGCATCTACTGTACGCGATTCGCCATTAGCGCTCGGCCAGACTACGGAGAATTGTGCAACAGATGCACCTGAAAACGAGGCCACTGTGGGTGAAACTTTAGTATTCAGTTCTACGGTACGCATTTGGGGCTTCAGAAAATTTCGTATTAAGGGGAAAAGTTTAAATTTTGAATTTTAAACAATATGGGATTTAGAGGGGAGATTGTCAAGGATATCCTAATGGATTTCAATAATACCTAGTCTCGAGTTTCAAAAAGCTGGCTTTGGATTTAGGTTACGTGATAAATTCCAGATTCTAATTCCAGAAAATATAGGTTCCGAGGAATAAACTGTTCTAGTTAATCGTAAGTAAAAAATTCTGTTTTGTCGGACTTGTACAACTTGATACTCCTTAAGCCTAAGCTTTTGTCGCTCTATGAGAGAGAAGATTACCTATCAGTTGTTGTGTCAAGTCTTCTCGTTATCTTTCCGTGACAATTGTAGATACGCAGAACTGTTACTGCTTGATTTTATGTTAGGAAATTTTCGAGTATGAATAATGCTCTTCGGCGATAATACAAAATTTCTTAATTTAATCAGCGATACGTGTTGCACAGAAGTTTAAGAAATCTTATGTTACTGGAAATTCGTAAACATATGATAATATTCTAATGTTTCCGCATTATAATTCTTGGTACGGGTACATCATTTAGTCTCGATCTTTCCTTCGGACAATGTGCATGATACGTGATAGCGCGTTGAACATTCCTTGGGGTCGGAGTAAAACGATGACGCAGTGTCGGCGCGACGGGGCCCGGCTGGTTAGGTCAGCGCGGAGGCATAATTGCGCAATGTTTAATAGCAAACTGCAGGAAACGATAAAACGCGCGACGCCAGTAGAAGTAATGGGTGCAGAATGCAGATGTAACGCGTGGCAACAGCGCGCGGAAATCATTCATTGAGTCCAGAGAGTCCGCCGGCTGGTCATTGCGTTGTGTCGGCTACTGCTGATGCTCCCCGTTGCCGGGCTTGGATAACACAGTGTGTGAGGGGATCGAACGCGGGAGGGAAACGGCAGGGTAATTCGATGTCTGCGATTCCTCTTCGCCCCGCCTAGATTTTAACTCCTCCTCAACGCGGTTTCAATTTTATATTTTGTATCTCATAAGTACTGCGGATTTTTATATAAAGTATTTATGGTAGTCAGTTTAATTTCTTTAATCGTTTAAGCATTGATGTTTTTGTTTCCAATCCTCATAAGTATTTTATGTATCTCAGATGTCTATAAGAAAGAGTTATTAGAATTTTTTATCGTGAAATACTGCGATATCAAATTCTGTATTTTAAAATATAAATTTATGGTGCGTTCTATTTTGGTACTTTATGATTTGTAAATCTTTAGGTGAACACGTACAATCGATCAAACCATTATTCAGCGGAAATGTTTGCTACTTGGATGGTTTAACGTAGAACATTAATCAGGTTAAGGCTTGTATGATAGATACATTAAATGATATATGCAGAATCGCGTTCCTGAGATTCGTGTGTTAGCCCTGATGTATTATTTGCGAGCCGACGTAGAGAGAGCAGTAGATCGTGGTCTGGATTGTCTGCATGGTCTATATTTCTCTCGCAGCTTAGTAAGCTCGGTGCGGTCTATTTTGCGTTGGGGCTAGACTAAGAAATTTGTAGTGAAGACAAATAAATTGAAGATCAAGTTTGCAATCGATCAACGCCTTAGGATAATTGCAGCAAACAAATTAATATTTGAAGCGAGCAAATTTGACTTTATAGATTAGAGAATTAAACAAGTCTTTAGTATTAGGTTTATAATTATTGTGGTTACTAATTCAAAATCTTTCTTAAGTATTATATTTGCAAAGTGGGTCATTAAAATCATGGCACGAGAGTCAACTATGGTTCTTTCGTTTTGCAATGGCATTTTAAAGTCATCATTCACGAAGGACAACTATGTCCTTTCGTTCTGCAAAGGTATTTTAAAGGTTCGGTCGAGTTGTTTAGTTCGTTACCAGCCTCGTAAATCTGTCGAATTGATCCTAAAACTCTCTGTGTATCCGTGAACTTGCTACCTATAGCTACCTGGATTTTATTGTCGTTCTTCGGGAGAAACGTCACGCTTTGTAATCGCTTTCTGACGTCAACCGACTGCGATGCAAGTATATTAATGGCCTGTCAGGGTGGGATATTATTTAAAATGAAAATTTATTGGTACCATAATTGCAAACTATAACATCATTTCAGCTAGTAAACACGTAATAAGTCTTCCATTATCTCTATGGTTTTCGTAATTATTTCATCGCGAATCGGTGCTTTTCAAAATCGTCTATTTTTTCACAATGCAACCAAAGATTTGTATGCAGCAAACAAGTTGGCTGTTCCATGTAAATGCGCTCTTGAGTCTAGAAGTTGTAAACGCAACGTTAAGAGGCTGAAACCGGAAGGCCGGAACTTTCTTCTCGAATAATTTCCCCGGAGAAAAGATAAGACGAAGGTAACAGACGGGAGAAACTTTAATTTTCCGGCTGAGCCGCGTATGAATCCTTGAACGCTTAATTAGTTTCACTGAAATCGCGAAAAAGGAAGAAAACAAATTAATCGCAAAGTTATTTAAAAGAATTCAAAATCTTGGTTTATGATACAAATTAATTTTTTTTTTTAATTGAATAGAAAATATTCACTTTTACGTATGTATTATCGTAATGTGTAGCGAGAGTTGCATTGTTCTTTGAAACATTTTTGCTCGAGGAACTTCGTCATCGGTTTGCGATTGTCTTTATTGAAGAGTGATTAATGCGTGACCGTGAAACTCGTTCGTTTAGTACAAATCCATGTTCTCAGATTTCCCTTTCTGTCTAAAGTCATGAAGATAATGGACGTAACATCAATTTTTTAGATCGATGATTCTGTATAAGAAATCCGATAGCTATGAACAGTGCAGAGTTTGCAGATAGCAAGCTAATAAACGGGGATTTTAAAGCTTTCAGTTTCTAAGAAAAGAGCTTCATAATACTTCTTCTCGAAACTTTATGCATCATCAGGTAAATAGATACGATTCGTAACTAGGTCGCACAATTATATTTATCGATTTGCTAGCTGTTTGGAAATGTTCGAAATATAATGGATTCAAATGTTCGACTGTGAATACATTCATAATTTTATTTAAACTGGTACCGAGTATTCGTTCCATTTGAAGCAACGCTATTTAACTATGATTACAAGTACCATTCTTTATCGCAAGTACTCTCTCTTCGCATTTATTTGCAAATGTAAGTAATGTCTCGCAAACCATCAATAAGCACCGCTCGAAACACTGTATTAATAACCCCAACATTTAAAGGTCACCATAGTCCTTCATGCGGAAGTGCAGTCTCGGTCTTTTATGTTCGAACAATTGCATTAGTTTTTAATAGCTCAATGAAAACTTGCCTTTTGAAAAACTTCAAAGAGTAAATATTTTGTTCGCGTCAAACCGTGATAAGAGTGTTTTTTTTTTACGGAACACAAATATGCAGATTGCAACACAGAAGGTATGCGATCCTGGTTGCACCCCAATGCATAATAAGGGACTCACCCTTCCACATTCTTATCTTGTTCTTCGCGTGCATACCTTCCTTCCGTTTTGCGTGAAGGATGAGAAGGCTCTGGTCGAGAAATACCGCTCATAGAAGATTCATCGTCTAATTTCGCGAGCTTGTGTGCCCGCGGAAAAGACGTCTTCACAGGGGGAAAAGCGTCGACCCGTTCGCCTATTCGAGAGATCCGTGATCGTGGTAGCTTTTTCACGTAGCCGTGGGCTTCGTTTAAGTCTCAGCCAGTGAACAGTCATGAACGAAAGAGAGCACGTTGATAGTGGTCCCTGGCCTCTTCCGTAACTTTTTCCGCACCCGGGGGATTTTCATCGTCGGGTCAAAAGAAAAAAGATCGCTAGGAGAAAAGGTGAAAAGTCGATGCACCCCTGCGTGGATGTCGACGGCTTTACGATTCCGTGAGATCGACGCGGATGG